GAATTTAGTAGATAAACCATTTGTCTCTACATGTCAGCTGAATGATAGACAGTAATGATGAAATGAATTACAAACTGTTGTATTAAAAATAACTTCAGAAGTATTTTCATGTAATCTACAAAAACCGGGGTCAGCAAATTCCCTAGAGAGAAAACTGTCATATTCTTGTCCTGGGATCTAAAGGTTCCACTTCAGGTTCCGAGTAAGGTAGATGATATGGAGCACTTTACAGTAATAAATAAGAAAGGCGTATCTTCTTACTAATACCTGTTCACCAACAGTTTTTCAGCTGGCATAATTTTATGGTTAAAACTACTGTCATCTCTTTTTTTACAGTTTGTGGCCTATTATATTCAGTTAACTAAAAATGACCTATTCTATAACAAATGCAGAGGAGTATACTGTGCTGAAATTTGTAATCACTACACACATTTTGATCTATAACTGTCACGAACTCAGTTTCCTATGACTTAAATACTTCATAGACTGGAACGAAGTGAGTAGCGAATGAAGTGTCATTTTATCAAAGGATCTAACATGAAATTTGATGCCAAGAAGCATGAGAAGTTTTTAGTGAGTATCGTACGATATACTGAAGAGACAAAATGAATATGTCACTGCGCCATGATGGTATCATTGCTTTACTAATGTGATTTGAATGGAGTGACTTTTGAAGTCCCATATCGGCAATATTGCCAACCTATAACTTAAAATAAATGCACGTAAAAATGTCTGTCCCATTACTTTCCTTTTTAGTTAATAACTTCAACATACTTAGGAGGAAGTTTCTGTAATGGCTCGCTGTGTCATGCTGCATAACATGAACTGCACGTATGAGAGTGTTACGTCCTACCAGTTTTGCAAGTTAAAAATGTAAGTAGCTTTTCAGCGTAAACTATAGTAATAATTGGCTGACTGAGCTTATAATTCTCATTAAATTTGTGAGAAAAAAGCAACCTAGGTTACTCATATCGTAAATATGAGAGTGGCACTTATATAGAAGACACCACTAGGCAGATGCAAGTGAATTATTGTATTTAACTGAAAGCAAGCCTGCAAATCCTGAAATTTTTCACCAATGGTTGACAAACTCATAACTTCCAAGAAGAGAGACTTAATTGCACGCATGAACGTGATATTTGCAGAAAAGGAAAGTCACTCAGCCAATACCAACACTGGACTTAGTAATACTGCTCAACGGTTCGAGTTACCACACATACCAACACATCAAGTGCGAATGCACCCGGACAGAGGAAGAGGGAAGAAAGTGGTGAGAAGTGGAAAAATTTCATAAAAACAGAATTTAGTTAAGATGGAAATAACGTATACATACATATCATCCGTTATAATTTTCTTTCAGACATAACATCTGGTTTCTCTAACTATCTACTCCGGTTGCATAGTAGACCCCAGACTGGATGTTCACACTTCTTTGCATGGCTCACTCCAATGGTAAAAGGCTCCACGGACTGATACCATCTTATAGTCCGACAACCTCAAATCTTCGTCCAGTCCTGATCTACATAAGTTAACATTGTGAGAAAAAACAGAATGTGACAAGGCATGGGTAATGCAAGTCCCTGCGACTTGGGTCTATGGAGGTTCATAACTTTGTTAACCGGCTTTCTAATTCTTTCTCAAACTCTTCACTAGACTTCAAAGTTAGTGACATGATTACATCACGACACATGGTGTGTACAACACATCTGGTGTGGGGTGCCGACAATTCTGAGTGTGTTTCGCAACCTGGTGGGAACTGAATACCAGGTCAATAAACACCAAAAGAACTGAGGCCTGCCAGGTTTTCTCGAGTTTACTATCCCCGAGCCCCGCTTAGACGTCTGATCATATTGGAACCTACAATCTTAGACAGTATGTTGTCGGGCTGATTTCCCGTCTCAAAGACTACAACGGTCAGCAACTGAAGCGAGTCAGAGGGGATGGTATATGACTCACATACAGTATCTAATACTTCAGTTAACGCGATTAATAATGCATGGACACTGTCCCTTAGTATCTCTGACACCAGTCCCTTTAGCCTTGATGACATTCATCATCTCAGATTACTTAAAACTTTTTCGAATTCTACAACTGTTGGAGGTCCATACTTAGTGTTTTATTCAAGATCTGACTGAATAGTGAGAAACAAGAGATACTGGCTAACAGTAGGTTGAATTTTTCCTTGAAGTCACCTCATCATTTCGTTAGTTTTCCTTGGGAGTGAAGCATGAACGCATCCTTCTCCACTATAGTCCCACTAATCACCAACCTTAAGTTTAAATAACTGTCTACTGCTAATCATTGGAGCTAACTTTTTCATCTCTTGGACATTTTACTACCCACTACTCTTCATGGTCGTGACACAGACTATTTGTTAGTTTACATTTCAGTTACCTCGATTCCTCATTGTGCTTGGACCATGAAGGACTGCATCCGCCCGCATCAAATAATTGAGAGGAGGCTCCCGGTATCCAGTATCTCTTTTCAATCACTTTGTGAGGGTACGTTACGGTCATTAATTCTTTTTAAGCAGTGGGCTAAAGATGGTACCAAGATTCTTCTATGTGAGTGAGAGCGGACTGTTAAGAGAACTGTCAAGCAGATTCCTCCCTGAAAGCAGCCTTAGTAATCCCATCATTGAGTTGCATTTGGGATTGTTATGCAAGTCGAAGGGAAAAATCAATAAGAAGGGTCATCACGGAATGTTCTGGAACTAATCAATGTCACCCTTATTTCAGCTGAAATATTATTCATCGCAGGATAGCAAGTATCAGTGTAGGAGTAGAGTCAATGTTCGTTGACTTTCGGTCACACTGTTTAAAGTCGACTACAGTGATGCAGTTGTATACACTTTTGGTCGTACCTAACATATGTTGCATCTTGTAACTAATTAATTATTCATTCTTTTCAAAATTATTTTCTCCTTTATTTCTCGATAACTAGTTTCATTCATTTTCTGTCTTGTTATGAACTGCCGCTCCCGAAAAAGTCCCAATCCCCACATTTAGTTTTTGAGCTGCTCTCCTGAATGAACAGTTCTATAAGACTGACCACGCCAGATTGTGCGTTTGGATGTATTTTCTTTCCTAGGTGTTTTTCTTCCCTTTTTGTTTCACTTTTTAGACGGTTTTTGAGATAATTGAATGGTTAGTGGTGAAATTTCACTGATAAAATTATGGAATACATATCGATTCCAGTCTACTGTCAAGAAAGCGAGAATTCTCAATATATTTTTGTCAGACTATCAGTCCTTCATCATATCTATCAATCCATATTTTATTGCATGTCTGAATTATGATGGATGAAAAACAGCAGACTTTGTCAGGTGTTATAAGTAGACTCGATTTTCTGGTTACCACTTTTATGTTTCATATGATGAACCTCTTAACCTAAGAGTACTTAACTATGTAGTAATGATGGGTAGTGGCTAGCATGGAATCCAGGATCGGCATTTCGTCCTATTTGAGACTCGTCAGGTAGATGTACCTGCCTCCCAGTGAGTGATGTTGTTCCCACCGGGATGTCAACAGAGACTGCTCATTTCGGTCCGATCAACGATAGTGTAATACAAGTAACAACACTAAAACTATGATCGTAGCACAAGAGGTGGCTATCATGGCTTGGTGGTGTAGTGGATAACGCTCTCGCGTTTCAAGCGATCGCTGCCGAGTTCGAATCGCGGTGGGAACAACGTCACTCACCGGGAGGCAGGTACATCTACCTGACGAGTCCCAAATAGGACGAAATGCCGATCCTGGATTCAACTGCTAGCTACTACCCATCATTACTATACATAATTAAAACACAGAAAATATCGAGGCATCCACACAGGAGCCCAAATGCCAACAGAGATTGATCAATCAGGTCCAATCAACGACAGTGTTATACAAGCAATAACACTAGTATTTAACTATATTTAAAATAATTTTGTTGCCAGTGAACAGGTTAGCAAACGATTATAAAATTTAAAAGCAAGTTATCTGATAAAGATTCAGTAACCACATCCATAGAGATTCTTCGTAGTGTGGAATGAACAAATACCCTATCAATGAATTTAAGAGAAATATTTACACCACGACCAAATCCCGCAGGTTTCCGCAATATTTTTAGCAAATTAGCTGCCAGTAATTACACATACATTCGGAACTCATAGCATCTTGAAATACTAATAACACCCAAGAGTTGATCATTATATTCAAAAATCTATTTTAACTTTATAATTCTTTCTTTCATGGTACCATAGAATTCAGTCTATGTCACTCATTTCTTTTAGGCTCCATAACCATCACGAACAGTAACAACAAAAGTTGCTCTAAAATATGCGAATAACAAATGAACAATTCCAGTAAATTATGTGACTTATTAGAGTTTGTGATGATTTCTAACATGACTTCATCGGTTTTCAAAACTACTGGTTGCGAAATTCACTAGAAATCAACTAAGCTTAATGTAAGAGTAAAAATTGGGCACTGAAGTTGAGCATAGTTCCACATTAGATTGCTTATTTGATTGACATAGGACACAGTGACACAGTATTATTTACTAGATGACGTTTCGAGAGGAATTTATTGCTCGTATTCATATCATATCATAAGAATATGAGCAATAAAGTTTTCTCCAAATGCTATCCGAAAATTAATACTGCATCACCGTGTGATATTCAAAATAAACAATCTAATATATAACTGACTAAAACTCTCAGTCATTTTAAACTAGTGCAACTCAAAATCAGGTGAACCGGCTTATATTTACAAAACATGACACTACTTTAATAAATAAACAAAGGGAATGAACACAAACAGAAGTACCATAAAGTAAACATTAGTGATATAGGCAAAGTTTATCACACTCTTCTGATTCTTAGCTATTGACTAACAAGAAAAGTTACTTAGCTTGATAAAATGCAGAAAATTAACGACTAACTATTCCATAATGTACCTGTCAAGAACAATCAGTAGACAAAGATAACAGTATTCTGATATTTTTCAAAATTGTCTTACTTGATTTAACAGATGTTGACAGTGGTTGCGGTTCACTATCGTGTGGGTTGTGCTCATACAAATGGAGGTCGATAGATACATTATTATCACTGTAACTGTTAGTCTCAATCAACTTTTGATTGTAAAAGCTCTGTTCTCCAATACTTTCAAATAATTCAGTCCAGTAGATGCTGTCGGGTAAATACTTGAGTCCAGGGTTATCGTATATATAAACACTACCACGAACAATAGCTGTCAAATAAAAGAGATGACAAAATGAAGGTAAATTTGAGACTAATTGGAATTGAACTTCAACGGTTTTAGGGCGTTTAATTCACATAAAATATCTTGTATATATTGATATCTCTTGATTGCATCACTGTGTTTTACCTGCATATGTTTACCTATTTTCAGAACTTGGATAACAGACCAGATGTTACACATAAATTCATGGTCAATTGGTGCTATTTTACAACGATAGCAAATGAAGATTGTCAAATCTCACTGTCAGATACATTTACATTCCTCAAAAAGAATTTTTGAAACATTGAAGTACTCGAGAGAAGAGAACATTTTGAAGATTGACGTTCACTTGATACTGACTGGTTTAGTGTTTTAAAGAATAGAATCGTTTTATTTGAATGCCGCTATTGTAGTGACCCGATACCAGCTAATAGTTCATAAGCACATGTACAGCCTTAAAGATGACACAGCTGTTAGTATTCATCGCAGCATGCATAAACCGGCAGCATTATGTTGGCCGTTTGTGGAGTGTTAATCCTTATTTTAGCTCTTCTGCTTGGAACTCATTGTTAAACATTGTTTGAGATTAAGTTTCCCGTAAATCATCCTAAACGAACAGTTACTCAGGTTTACCTTTGCGAAGGTTTATTTCGCATCTAAGCAAATTAAAAATGTTAGCTTAGTTTGTTCATTGACGTCAGTTTTTGTCAAACCTTCATAAAAATTTACTTTGAATTCGTTAAGTAAACAAGTTTACTGAGTGTAGGACTGGATAATAGTCATTCATCCAAAGTTTGGCTTTGATTCACATCAAATCAACATGAAAAAGGAAAACTGATTGAAAGCATTACTGACACATGGATATACTGAAACCTGCAATGATGCAGACTGAAAGTTTACATATCAACCTGTCTTTAAGTGTGGAAAATTTCTCTTCATAGTAGGTGAAGAAAAAACTCCAATGTGGTATACGGATGCTTGAGTGAACTATTACCCAGTGATCATGTTTTCCTAATGCCACCAATGTTATAATTACAACTTTTCTCAGCGCTACATTAGATTGACATCAGAATATACTACTTTCCTTTCACTTAGGTCATGCAAATTTTATATTTTGATGCATCAGGCATTGTTCTATTTTTCTATCTGTAATACACTGAATTGAGTCACTTCATTATACTGAATGTTACAAAAATCAGTTTATTTACGTCAACGGTGGTAAATGTAGACATTATACCATTGAAGAAGCTGTGTATAAATGTGATACAGGCTTAATTTAACGTGATCAACTCTTTCAGAAAGTTCTATACTACTCTGTTAAATTAATCAGGACTCAATAACTATATTTGTTAAAGCTATATATTATCTTGTCAGATGTTCCAGTCTACTTAATGCGATGAATCGAATCCTGATAACATTTTTAGAAGGAGATCACACTGCTTTTGTCAGTAAGAGGTTGGCGGATGTAAAACCGCAAACCTTGCCCTTATTCATATTGATACCAGAGGGTAAGGTGAATCTTCTAGAAACCCATTTTTCTCACTTATTCATATCCGCATCCATGAGTGTCACAGTAGGAATCTTCTTCACTAATCTAATGAGGTGTACAAATAAATCGGTGTGCAGTGTTCAACAGAACTAAGGAGGCTCATGAGCGAAAACTCCATTAGACAATTAAAATCATGTTGTATTCATTGAGGATAGGATGCAGCCAATACAACTGTCTGGCACAAGGCTAAGTGACACTTTGCTCACTTTGTTCAGCATTAGACGTTACTTGTTATTTCAACAAAACCTGGATATGTATTTTTCGTCTGTTAGCATTGAAAAGAAAGTATCTTCTGCAACTTTTTGTGTGAACTCACAATTTCCTGCAGTTCTTTTTGTTTTAAGCAGCTTCGTAGTAAAGCCTCTGACTACAGTGCTGAGTTGTCTGATGGCCAAAAATTTAAAACCATAAGTTTCTTTTGTTTTAAATGACATTACTTTGTGTATGACACTGAAAACCAACTCTATCGGAATAGTGCTTTCAGAAATGACCAGATGCCTCATTAATTTGCATTCGACTTTAAATACCTACATCGCACTTTACCTCAATGTAACTTTGTAAACAACACGTTTACCAGAATCGTCTCTGGAGGAGAAGGAATATATATATATATATATATATATATATATATATATATATAAATAGAGAGAGAGAGAAAGAGAGAGAGATGAAAGTGGCCAACAGTACACATGATTCTTTACTTATCCTGTTATTGATTCCTGTTGGATGAACAACTGTGAAATGAATATTAAAAAATTCAGAGACCAAAAAAATCAAATTGTTGAATCTATGTAACTGTGATAAGGATTATGCAATATGGCGAAATAATATAACCAATGATAAATTTTAGTCTCTCTAAACCATTCCCACTTCTTGATTAGTAGGTACTCATAAAATAATTTTTCATTTCTCCTTTACCAAGAGTTCGATGAATTCTTCATCGTGGGCAAAAGTAATTATATCAAGAGTGAAGCTAATCATCTATATTGGAAGTTCTGGCTTAATTAACTGACCTTATATACACTGTTACTATTCTAAAGAAGACATGTCTATCTTTGTAACAAAGATTTATGAAAACGTAAAACAAGGAACAAAAGTATGGAAAACAGGAATGTTAAATTCAGTTTCCTGAAAATGTATACAAATTCCAATCACTGGAACAATACTCAAAAGGAACTGCAGCCAGAACTGTTAAGTACATATCAAGTGTTAAAACACAAAGCTTTACCAAAGAAAACCAGGCTTAGACTAGAGAACTACTGATATATGCTTACGAAAAATACCAATATGGAAAATTGACGCTTATACTATTTTAAAAGCCAGAAAATGACAGAGTTTTCATATATGGGTAGGTAAAATCGACAGACCGTTCCATTTATGCCATCCATCCAGATCAACCTAGGACCAGGCATTACTGCGTAACGGTCCGAGTTGCCACACCTCATATCAGCACATCAAGTAAAAAGGTAGTGAGGTGAAGGATGAAGATAAGTGAATGCAGTCAAAAGAAATATAAAGTACGAGAAGAAAGGAAAGAGGAGTGACAAAATAGTGAGATTCGGTATAGCGTTGTTAAGATGAGGATAATGTGTGTATACATCTGCGCCACTGACTTCGGTTCTGAGCCATATCACCTAGGGTCTCCAACCACTGGTTCCTCTTGTCCCGTGGACCCCAACCACCTAGTCTGCATCGTCCTACATGGCTTAAACCAACAGTCAGAGACTTCATACATTGGTGCCATGTTTTAGTCTGGCCACCTCGGGCCTTTTTCCAGCCTGAACCCACCTCAGCCAACATTGTGTGACGAGGCAATCGGTGACTAGGCATACGTAGTACGTGTCCCAACCATCTCAGTCGATGAAGGTTCACAACCTCGTCGACTGACTTACCTCTTCTCCCTAAAACTCTACACCTAACTTCTGCATTACTCACATGGTGACACCACGGAATACGTCCTATACTACGAAGGCAACGGTGGTCAAACACCTGAAGCCTTTTGTATCTTCCACTTTCAATGGCCATGTTTCACAGCCATACAGTAGAACAGAGCGGACTGCTGTGCAGTACACGCGACCCTTAATAGACAAACGAATATCACGGCGGCGCCATAGGTGGCGCAAATTGGCAAAAGCCAATCGAGCCTTTTGTATCCGTGCAGAAATCTCATCGGCAACTAACCCACCGGAGTTGATCCTACTTCCCAGGTAAGTGAAGTGGTCAACACACTCAACCACTTCACTCTCTATTGTTAACCGCGGTACCGCTGAAGACCAGTCCTGGAGCAAAAATTTGCATTTGGGTGGTGAAAATCGCATCCCAAACATTCTCAAATTCCCACTCAAAGTGTTCAGAAGACTCTGCATCTTGTCAGCGTCTTCACCTAACAGGACTATGTCATCTGCATATTCTAGATCTAAGGAAAATTCACCTGTGATCGGGTCAACGTCTTTGTAATTAGGTGACGAGAGGGAAACCTCCATAAGAATATCTATGATAAAATTAAATAAGAATGGGGATAGTGGGCATCCTTGACGGACACCACTTGATGAGTATAGCTCCCTGGACAACTCACCATAGGCTCTAACATGCCCACAAGTGTTCGAGTAGAGAGCTTTCAATAAGGTGATGTACTTACTAGGCACGCCTTTCAGTGACAGACACTGCCATAAGACTTCTCGATCAACGGAGTCAAATGCCGCCTTCAGGTCGAGAAATACAGCTATTGTCGGGCGTCTGTAAGCATGCCTATGTTCCAGGACCTGGCGCAGTGTGAATATTTGGTCGATACATCCACGGCCAGGTCTAAAGCCTGCCTGGTTTTCTCGGGCTTGCTGTTCCCGAGCTCCACTCAGGCGTCGGAGAATTATAGAACTTAGGATCTTAGACACTATGTTTGTCAGGCTGATTCCTCTGTGGTTATCACAAGAGGACTTCTCGCCTTTCTTGAAGACTGGGATGATCAGTGACTTAGACCAGTCGGAGGGGATCGTATTTGATTCCCATATACTGGCTAACACTTCCGTTAGCCTGACTAAGAGAACTCTACCACCATTCTTGTATACCTCAGCAGGTAGTCCGTCTGGTCCTGCTGCCCTTCCCCGTTTCAGGCTACCTACCGCTTTCTCAACTTCTTCTAGTGTTGGGGGACCTGTCTCTATGTCCCATTCAGGGTCCGACTGGATAGCGGGCAGCGCAATGGTGGCTGGAGGCCAGTTAAACTGTTCCTCAAAGTGTTCTGCCCATCGTCCCAGTCGCCTTCCCTGCGAGTGAATCGCCGATCCGTCCTTCTCCGCTATAACCTCACTAACTGTTGTTGACCATTTCCCCCCAGTCTCCTTAATAAGTCTAAATAACTGTCTACTGTTACCGATCGCCGCTGCCTTTTCCATCTCTTTAGCCTTCGCTGCCCACCACTGTTCACGATCGTTGCGCAGACTTTTCGTCAGTTTATTTTTAA